TTAATTGATTTTTTAAAAAACCCTTTAAACTCACAGGATGTCTGCATAGCAGAAATCATCCCTCGTCAGTAAGGTAAAGGTAAAGGTTCCTTTGCTCAAAAGCCAGTCGAATCCGACTCTAGGGTTGCGGTACTCATCTCCGTTTCAAAGCCGAAGAGCCAGCGCTGTCCGAAGACGTTTCCGTGGTCATGTGGCCGGCATGACTAAACACCAAGGCGCACGGAACGCTGTTACCTTCCCACCGAAGTGGTACCTATTTACCTACTTGCAATTTCTTGCTTTCGAACTGCTAGGTTGGCAGGAGCTGGAACTAGAGACGGGAGCTCACTCCGTCAGAGCAGGCGGCAATAAAACACATTTGAGCGCGGCTGCAGCTTCTTACGTGATAAGTCCTCGTAGCAAGTTCTGCAGCCGAGTCACTATAGCACGGAAGTCGGTGCCATCTTCGGAGGCACCTTATCGCATCAACGCCAAAGATACTCTAGTCCTTCCTGCAAAGTTAATCCCCATCTCACGAGAGCCAAAGGAAAGGGAAAAAAAATATTTCCCCTTTTTGGGCTACTGGCCACTCCCTTGAGATAACCGACCCTTGCAGCTGCAGGCAATTACCACAGCCAATCTACCTCCTCTCCCCCAAGGTTGGATCCTGCCAAACGTATGACCCAGTCACCAGGGCTTAGCAAATTGTAGGCTCATTCAGCCCCCATCCCTTACACCTATCATCGCAGGCAAGGCTGCATGGTTGCTGATTCTTTTATTCAACCAACTGAATGACACGCACCTCATATAGCATTGGCCCTGTTCACAAGTTACAATGAACACATGAATCTGCCTTATACTGAATCAGACCATTGGTCCGTCAAGGTCAGCACTGTCTACACAGATGGGGCAGCAGCTAAGAAGAAGAAGAGGAGGAGGAGGAGATTGGATTTGGAGATTGGAGGTGTCTCAGAGCAGCTTACTCAGAGCAGCTTACTCAGAGCAGCTTACAAACTCCTTTCCCTTCCCCTCCCCACAACAGACACCCTGTGAGGTGGGTGGGGCTGAGAGAGCTCTGACAGAAATGGCTCTTTTTTCAAGAACAGCTCTAATCAGAAATATGGCTTGCTCAAGGTCATCCGGCCAGGTGCAAGTGGAGGAGTGGGGAATCAAACCCGGTTCTCCCAGATTAGAGTCCGCGCACTTAACCACTACACCAAACTGGCTCTCTCCAGAGTGTCAGACGGCGGTCTTTCACCTCCTGCCTGGTCCTTTTAACTGGAGATGCCAGAGATTGAACTTGGGTCCTTCTGCATGCAAAGCAGAGGCTCTTCCACTGAGCCAGAGCCCCTCCCCAAACGAATGCATGTACAATCCATCCGTCTTTATACATCTGCTGAGGAATTACATTCAACACGTGTACAGCTGAGCGTGTGATTAAAACTACACCTTTATCCAGGTAGTGGTCACCGGTTTCATTTGTATAGCAAACATTTCTGCTCTTTCTTACAAACAGATGTACACACAAACATCCAGGATGTACATGAGTTTTGCTGTAACGTGCACTGGGCTATAAATATAGTCTGTTGATAGATGTCTACCTGCCCATATGGAAAGATAGAGTTGTTAGGTAGGTAGCCTTCAGCAGTTTGAGACCCTAGTGCCACATGGCGGAGTGAGCGCCCATCTTTAGCCCCAGCTCCTGCCAGCTAGCTCGAAAGCAAGAAATTGTAAGTAGATAAATAGGTACCACTTCGGTGGGAAGGTAACAGGGTTCTGTGCGCCTCAGCATTTAGTCATGCCAGCCACATGACCATGGAGAAGTCCTCGGACAGCCCTGGCTCTTTGGCTTGGAAACGGAGATGAGCACCATCCCCTAGAGTTGGATTCGACTGGCTTTCGAGCAACGGAAAGGACAAAAAAAGGGGGGGGGAGACTGAACCTAAAACCTAGAATTCAGAACCTATAATCCTGAATTTACTATATAGGTCCAACACTTTTTTGATCAACACTGCTTTTAACTTAAGAAACATTTCATTGGGAACATTTGCTGTACAAGCTCAGGAGAATATATAAGTTGACCAGAGAGAAGTACTACTGGACATGTGATTGCACTGGAGATTTCATTTGTATTTTTGTATTTGTCTTCTTTGTCCAGTGGTTAAACTTTGGAACAATTGGTTTCTGGTCTCTATTTCATATTCTGTATATATAAGATTGTATATATTTTTACATATCAGCCATTACATATCAGCCAACATGTTCTATTTGTATTAGACCTCTGAGGAAGGCCAGTAAAGGCCGAAACGCGTTAGGTCTATTTCATCAGCCTTTGTATGTTTTTATATTTGTATAAGAGGTATGAATGGGCCCTTATTCGTTATTTTAATTTGTGTTTAATAAATGCGTGTATATTTTTTAGGTTTCATAATTAGATTTTAAGAGTTGGCCCTCTTCTATTCTTGACTAACCTTTATAGGTTCTGATTTCGAGCAAAGGAAACCTTTACCTTTACCATTTAGCCTTCGTATACACCTTGATGATTTTAATGCAGGAGAAGAGACCCAAGTGTGCATCAGTGCAGCATGCTAAATTTGTGCAAGTCACCTGGTGCTGTAAATGGGTAGTCAGACAGAAATCCCTGAACTCTTAGTCGTCCTCAAAGTGACCCGGAACATTCCTACCCCACTCCACACACACACACACACACACACACACACACAATTAAAAAAACACTAGGGAAGTGATGCTCTTGAGTAAGGTCAAGAAGTGACACACCAGTGCCTGCTGCTACCTGGTATCTAACCAAATGTTTACTTGAGGTAGAACTGGTGATTTAGTGCTGAATTCTGGCTGAAAATGGACATTCCTGATGAACAGTAATAGGTATAACCCTACCAGCATTGGGCACAGTGGGGAATTTGGATCTTCAACCCATTGCACAGTATTAATCTTAAAACCTTGGGCCCTGCAAACCTACAGGCCCACTATATCCCATCATAACGTAATCAGAGATGACCAGCATCTCCATTCTGCTGGTATTGGCCTGCATATAATAGAAACCATATTTTACCCTACAACCTGGCTCCCTAAGAGGCATCCTAGTGCTATAATGGTTTAAGAAAGTCCTCTTGATTACCTGTACCACCAAGAGCAAATTGAAAGGGCTCAGTGCAGTCACATACCTCAACACATTAATTTAAATACATCTATAGATTTCTGATCTGTTCCCCTTCTCTCAACAGGGTGCCAATTCCTAGATTATGGCTGCGGGCACACGGGCAGGAAAATGCGGGGGGGGGGAGCGTGGCTGTTTGCCCCAGGGCTAAAAAACGTGCGGTTGTGCGAGCAGACCTACCGTGGAGGTCCCGTGGTAGGGGGAAGGTGCCGATCACTCCACAGTTCTGCGGCGCGGCAAAGAAGCGGGGCGTGGGGCAAACAAAGTTGGTGCTTTCTAAAGAGCTCAAATGTGTGCATGCTCCCTTGGGTGCTTGTGCGCATCCATGGAGACTTTGGGGGGGGGAAACCTTTTTGCGAGGGGACATGGGCGGGCGCCGGAACTACCACCAGAAACGCGATCAGACGCCCGCCCTTGCCCCGTGGTTTCAGGAAACTAGTATCTCCGAGGTACTAGTTTTTTTACCGCACATCTTCCGCGGGAAGCCTCGGGTTCGCCACAGGAGCTCGATGCTTCCCAGATGTGGTGGTGAGATCGCGCCCGGAAAATCCGCCTATCTTCCGTCCCTCTAGCGTGCCTAATGCTCCGTGTGACCGCAGCCTATAATAACTTTCAGAAGATGGATTATCGATCCTCTATGAAAAGCATAGCAATGGTTTTTTCCCCTTAAGCAGAAAACAGGATCTGCAATCTTGCATGATCCCTCTCCTGCAGCATTACATGACTTGTGAGAGTAGACCACTCATAGAAACAGGCATGACTATATGTTGTCGAAGGCTTTCACGGCTGGAGTTCATTAGCTGTTGTAGATTTTCCGGGTTGTATGGCTGTAGTCTTGGCATTGTAGGACCTGACGTTTCGCCAGTAGCTGTGACTGGCATCCTCAGAGGTATAACACAGAAAGTCCTACGATGCCAAGACCGCGGCCAGACAACCCGGAAAATCTACAACAGCTAAAGGCATGACTATGTTGTTCTGTAAAACTGTGCTTGCATTAGTGTTGTTGCGATTCTTTGATTCAGGGTCGATGGTTGTATTGCAAACACAAGAGCCACGCTTAGTAAAAGAAAAATATCTTTACTACAAAACAAAATAAAACATGGGTAGGGTACTTTGGATAAAAGAAATAAAATAAAAAGGTTACATGCTTGCAGTTACTCTCAGTGATATATGCTAACAGCTACATCTTTCTATCTGTCTTGGCTTCTAGAAGAAAACTTCCTCTTTGGTTCACACAAAGGGCCATAAACCTTGTGAATACATGAATGCTAGATCAAAGCATTTCCACAAACAAGTTGTTAGTTGACCAATACAAAGGTTACAGGTCACTTCATTAGGGTAAACAACTCCCACAAACTTTCCCGCCGTTGAATACATTATGTAACGTAACATCCTGTTTCCTAACAAACAACATTTAACTCTGTGATGACTGAAGGGTAAGCAACTTGCAATTCCAACAATTAGACACTAACAGAGTCGTAAAAATGCCACGTAATCTGATGCTGGTATCCAAGAGCACTGTCCCCTGCTCTCAATCTTAGCACAGTGTTGGTTCTTTTTTAAAAATAGTGCTCCGATGCTTAGGGAATTGAAATATGTCACCAGCCAAAGCGATTAATAATAATATATCAGATTCCGAGGAAATACGTGTACAAAGCATGCAATAGCTATTTACAACTCTATCCTATTTAATTATATTCATGTTTCATCGATGCCTTTTTTCTTTCTAGATACACCTAATGGCTGCTAAGATATAATGCGATGCCTCAGAATCATCCAACGATAGTACTGGGGCCTCTGCTGTTTCCAGCATAACTCATTCCGCGTTCCCTTTTCTTTACAGAGGGCAATCCATACACCTGGTGGATTGGGAAATCCAATGAAAAGCACTACTACTGGGGCGGCTCCGGGCCAGGCATTCAAAAATGTGCCTGCGGCATTGAACGGAACTGTACCGATTCCAGATACTACTGCAACTGTGACGCTGATCACAAACAGTGGTAAGTGTGTGTTGTCAAGCTTGTCTTGTGCACCTATTGTTTTTTAATCTTTTATACTTATTTTATGTTCTGGTTTTTACTTGTTTTAATGATGTCTTGGCTGCGGTCACACACACCAAATGAGCCAGTTTCGGTCCATGTTCAGCGCATGTTCCAATTGGATTTTGCCAGTTCACACAGTAAAATCCAGTTGGAAAGTGGGCTGAAAGTGGATTATTTAGTGAGTGTGACCGCAGCCCTAGTGTGTTGGTTTTAATGGCTTTTAAGGTTTCTATTTGTTTAAAAGTTGTTAAATTTGGTGGCTCTATGGGGGCAGAAAGGCAGGGTAAAAATCTTGTTCATAATACAGTAAAAATCCAGAAGAATTATTTGCAGATTGGTTAGATTTTAAAGAATATTTAGAGAAGGAATGGGACGTGAAGAATAATTTGTTTTCTTTAGAGAATTATTAAGAATAGAGTATATAAACTCCGAGATATAGAAAAGTTAAAAATTCATATTTTGAACTATAGGTTACCGGTATATAAATATGTGTTATGGTTGTTTTTGTTATAGACAAAAAGATTAAGATGAAATGATCAAAGGGAGGGGGTGGGAGCACTGCGGGAAGCCCAATGAAGGGGGGGGGAGGAAAAAGGGATATGTATTAATTTTAATCATATGATTTCGAACGCGATGTAATATTCCTTCAATAAAAATTGTTTTTTAAAAAAATCTTGTTCATAATAACAATGTAGTATTAACCATCAGTCTCTCTCATAAAACTAAAACACAGGGTCACTGTATATGCTTGGTTGGTTCTAGATAGGGAAAAGAAAATGTGCAGTGCATAATGCACCCGTGGGATTTGTTTCTCCACTGGATGTGGTCATGGCTGCTAACTCAGAAGGCTTTCTTGACAAGTTTATAAAGGGTTTATTATCAACTGTTACTAACCAGTATAGGTAAATAGAACCTTCATGTTCAAAAGCAGTATACCTCTAACTGCTATGTACTGGGGACAGGCAGCTAGTTCCTAATCTTTTTATATACCCAAGAGGGTACACTTCACTGGCTTTGTCTGTGTGTGTGTGTGTGTGTGTGTGTGTGTGTCTGAATGTTCCAACCACTGCTTCTTGATTCCTCATTTTGTATGTGCAAGTGTTTTTAATTTTTATATTGGCCCTTTAATGGCTGGTCCGGAAGAAACACAGTTTTGTACACAAAAGATCCATCGCTGAATGCGTCATCGTGTTCATCTCCGGTGATCATACAAATACACTATTATAGCTCTGAAAGGCTCGATAACGAGACATATTTCATATTTTTATTAGCATTTTTCATCGTCGTAATCTGCCTGCTGATGTTCTGGATCGATAGTGGCAGGCTGACAGAATTAAGACATTAATTCATGGCCTTATTAGGGACTGCTGAACTACAAAAAGTGCCCCATGCATCTGGAATAAAACAAGTCATTAGCAGGGCGATCCTAAACAGAGTTACAGCCTTCGAAGTCCAATGGAGTCAATGGATACAGAATGGTGTCACTCTGTTAGGGATTGCCGTGTTAGGGATTGCCCTCTGGGGCAGTGGCCCACCGGCAAATTTCCCTGTGTGTTAAATGGCCAGTCTGCCTCTGGGTTCAAGATTGTTGGAAATATGTGTGTTGCAAGGTCTAAATTCAGTCATTTTAGGGTTAATGTGTTTACCTTGCGTGCTATTGTTTAGACTGACCTGAAAGGGAACCTGGCACAATGCCAATGGGAAGAAAGCCCAGGGAAACTGGAGCCTACTTACTAACAACCATTGGTTAAATGTATTCAGGTGGTTTCCTTCTAGAATCAAGAAGAAAGAAGAATCTCCATTACCAACCGTGTGGTCAGTCTGTTATTGTACTTGTAACAGTAAGGATGTGGTCTTAGTGTTTGTTGTTTTGTAGATTTTCCTGTGTACCCTTCCCTTTAGAGATAAAGGTTTTTACATAGAAAGAAAATGCCTCCTCTCCAGTGAACAAAGATCCATTGCAAACTCTGAATATCTAAGGTCGTGTTCAGATGGGTCTTTACATTTGACCCAGGCACAAATGCCTGGCGGATTTAAAGGGAATGATCAGACAACGACATCTGGGAAAGGCTTCCATGATCAGCTTGTTTTGCCCCACTAGGGAGCCGTACTTAAAAGATACCACTGAAAGTCCGGTACTTTTGCTTGCTGACGGGCCAATGACAAACTTTCCTCCGTCTTATCATTCCAGCACGCAATCAGCCCGTTGGGATGGTCTCCAGCCCATCCCGAACGGCCGCCATTTAAAAAAAATCTCCAAGCAATAGGCGCATAAACGCACAATAGCCGCAGAGCTCCACTCTAGCGTTCAGGACAATTTCATGTTAATCAATGGCCCGTTAAATTAATGAACCTCGTTATTGAAATTGGACTTTGAGGGAGGACAACGTAGATCTTTCCCTGAGGACAACGTAGGTCTTTCCCTAAACAAAGTAGTCCCTCCACTGACCCAGATCTCCAGGGCAGGGGGGATGGTTGGGACTCATTTCATCCAGCCCTGGTCGTCTGCATCAGAACAGAAACTGAAAGAAGAAGTTGGGTATGCTTGAACTGTCTTGTTGGGCGCTCCATGGGGAGAGATGTGGAGGTGTAGGGATTTCAACTACATGTCCCTCAGGCGGTGCTTTAACCATGCGATTCACGTGGAAAACCAAGCTCACAGTGAAGCGCATATGCGCATGCACAATGGATTTTAAAAAAAACGACCGTGCAGCTTCTTCAGGGGGGTGCTGTCTAGACAATCCACAGTGGAGGCAATTCACGGGGGGAGCTGTCTGGTCATGCAACACTGGATAAAAAAGAACGGGATCAAATTAGAGCCAGGCCAATGGTGGGATTAGCAGCCCAACTGAACACACCCTAAGTATTTTTACCAAATGTTCGAACAATGATCACTCAGAGATATTCCATGGTAGAGTGAGGATTCAAAACTGGGTTTTCCAGATTCCAGTCCAGCCATGAGACTGCATTGGCTCTACCTTTGAACTCGGCCTGGAAACAAACTGGTAAACAGTGCAAAAAATTAAGGAAAAAACCACACCATTCGCTGACATGCATAGTCTTATGAATACTTTGTCTTTTGGACCAGCTGAAGTTTCCAAATACTCTGAATGGCCAGCTGCAAATACAGCACATTGCAATAGTCAGGTCTGAGGTTAGCGAGGCATGTCCCATGGTAGCCAGATCCTTGTTATCTAGGAAAGGCTGCAACTGGTGCAGCAAGCGTTGTTGCAGAGGAACACTCCTGGATTAAACCTGTTCATCGGGTAGCAAAGCCAGTTCCAGAAATTCTTACTTTGTTGTTCAGTCGCACAGTCGAGTCCGACTCTTCGCGACCCCATGGACCAGATCACGCCAGGCCTTCCTGTCTTCCGCCGTCCTCTGACGTTTGCTCAATTTCATGTCCGTTGCATCTATGACACTGTCTAACCATCTCATCCTTTGCCGTCCCCGTCTTCTTTGACCTTCAATCTGTCCCAGCATCAGGGGCTTCTCCAGTGAGTGCTCCCTTCTCATTTGGTGACCAAAGTATTTGAGCTTCAGTTTCATTATCTGGCCTTCCAGGGAACAGTCAGGGTTGATTTCTTTTAGGATTGACTGATTTGATCTCCTGGCAGTCCAAGGGACTCTGAAGAGTCTTCTCCAGCACCATAGTTCAAAAAGAATCTATTCTTCGTCGCTCGGCCTTCCTTATAGTCCAACTCTCGCAGCCATACATGACTACTGGGAATACCATTGCTTTGACCATGTGGACTTTTGTTGGCAGGGTGATGTTCCTACTTTTTATCATGCTGTTTAGGTTCGCCATCGCTTGCCTCCCAAGGAGCAGGCATCTTTTAATTTCATGGCTGCTGTCACAGTCTGCGGTGATCTGGGATCCCAGGAACGTGACGTCTGTCACTACTTCCACGACTTCCCCGTCTATTTGCCAAGGAGTGATGGGGCCGGGTGCCATGATCTTAGTTTTTTTGATGTTGAGCTTCAAGCCCACTTTTGCGCTCTCCTCTTTTACCCTGAGCAAGAGGCTCTTAAGGTCCTCTTCACTTTCGGCCATTAGAGTGGTATCGTCTGCATATCTGAGGTTGTTGATCTTTTCCCCAGCAATCTTACTGAAATTCTTACTAAATTACTAAAGAAATTCTTACTGCCAAGCTGCAAACGCATTCCTGTCGTGGGAGTGTGGTGCCATCCAAAACAATCTGATCATCTAATTGTTGCGGAACCTGGCAGCTCACGGTCAACGATTCCATTTCACCTGGATCCACCTTCAGTTCATTTGCTTACATCATGACATGCGGTGATGGACAGGGCCATCCTTAGCATCGTTACGCCCTTCAAAGCCTATTGACCTCAGTGGGCTTAGAAGGGTACAACTCTGCTGCAGATTGCTACAAAGAACATCCGCCTTGCCTCGACCAGGGCCGGGGCCTTTTCAGCCCTGGCCCCCACCTGGTGGAATTAGCTCCCAGTTGAGACCAGGGCCCCGTGGGATTTATTACAATTCTGCAGTGCCTGCAAAATGGAGCTGTTCCACCAGGCTTTTGGCGGAGGCAGGAGAAGTCCAAATGACACCAGCCTTCCCTGCTCAACAGAGCCAGTCTGGTGTAGTGGTTAAGTGCGCGGACTCTAATCTGGGAGAACCGGGTTTGATTCCCCACTCCTCCACGTGCACTTGGTTGGACGACCTTGGGCAAGCCGTAGTTCTTATAAGAGCTGTTCTTGGAAAACAGCAGTTTCTGTCAAGAGCTCTCTCAGTAGCCCCACCTACCTCACAGGGTGTCTGTTGTGGGGAGGGGAAGGGAAAGGAGTTTGTAAGCCGCTCTGAGACTCCTTTGGGTAGTGAAGGGCGGGGTATAAATCCAATCTCTTTTTCTCTCTTCTTCTTCTTCAACTTGATCAATCTGCTCCATCCACCTCATTTGCCTTAGGGCACTGCCTACACCAACTGGTGCCAGCAC